GTTGAGGTTCCCACATTTTCTAGACAATCGGCTCACAGATGGCTGCAAGGCTGCCAGCCTTACGCACTGGCCGCCCTTTACTCCCAAGAATATTCCAAGAATATTCCTGGTACTCATTTCTGTTACAGGCTGAGTCGACCCCAGGGCCATAGTGCGGCTGGAAGGATTAGGTCAATTGAAAAAATCCAATGACTTCATCGGGACTTGAACCTATGACCTTCCGGCTTGTATTAGAAATAAGAGCTCATGACCAGATCTGGACTGATACTCACTCCCTCCAGTTCGGTTTTCTTCCTTTGCTTCTCCACTTTATTTTTGCCAGGTCCCTTTCCATGAAATTCATGAGACAGGTATCTGAAATTATAAATAGAGACAACATTAAGTCACTGTATTTTAGGATCTTACAGAATGTGGCCATGTTTCCAAGTAACACGTAAAATCCTTTCATCCTGAAGTTTCAGCTCGAAAGGGTATGATCCATATATAGTTCAATCTGTTATTTTGTGAAATAATAAAAATATGTAACATTCTGTTTTCCAACACAACTTACTCATACAGCCAATAACCAGAAATGGGCATGCTACAGCACATTAAAGTCGTAGAGATTGAAATGATTAACACAAAATATTTTAATAAAAGTACAAAGGGATAGTAATAATTCTGAGGCATGTTTCTTCCTAATTCATGCAACCTATCTGCAAACTGAACAATTCTCCTACATTCTATGCCTATACAATAAACTATATCAAGTACAAAGTACTGACACACTCAAATGTCACAATATGTTGGCTAGTTACAAACTGTCACATACAGAATGGGAGAAAAGGAAGTCAAAACAACACGTATATATATCAAAATGCTGTACTGAAAGCATCTGAGGTGGAACACAATAATCTCACCACCCATGATAGGGTAATCACGATACTGCTGGTCAACAGAGGGACCCTATAATTTAACAGAACCTTCTGAATGAGTATAACAGCTTACCCCAGGACCTTTTTCTTAAGGACCTAATTTAAGTGGCTCTAGTGTTGCTCCCAACTCAGTCACCAAGTTAATATGGCTGATGGTAGTCAACTAAAAGAACGTGTGAGTGGCACGATGACAATACAGAGTTTCACATAAATTCATCAGTTGGTTCACACATTATCGTGGGGATGGCATACATGGATGATAAACATGGTAGTCCCATAATCTTGTCTGTTTTCGTTAAAAAACTTCTTCCTCCTTGGAATTTTTTTCTTAAAATAGCAATTACTGTGGAAACTTTTTCTGCTCTAAAGAATGTACTAGCATTGGACAGGCTACCCTCCACAGTGTGACATATCTTAAAAACAGATATGCTGTTATCTGTGCTAACCCGAAAGCCTCCTTTGCATTAAGTACGTGTCCATCATTATCTATGTAGTTGAGTTTAACATTTGGTTTGTAGCCCTCATTTACTCTGAAGTCTGAGGTTGGACCACCGTAACGCTCACGACACCCAAACTTTCCATCATCTCTGAAGAAGATAAAACAATGCTGTATATTAAATTCCTTAATTAGTCTTGCTTGCTTACTTCGTCCTGTCTGGACCATCATGTACACCTCCCTAACATTCAAGTGGGTCAATCCCGAGAGACAGGACAAGACTTGCAATCC